GCTTCTACAGAAGTCCATACTGGAGACGCTTATTCAATTCATGTATATGCCAGTAATACAATGGATGGTAGCAAAATAACACTTTTTGGATGAGGGAAAAACTGTACTCTACTTTATGTGAAGGTACCATTTTTTTGGTTAGATGAAGATTTAAAATTTATTGGTGTTCTTTTCTTACTGACTTTACGAAGTTATCATCTTTTTAAATTAAGAACATTCCCAAGTTTGTACCATTATCAGGATGGTTTCCTTTTCTAGATTGTGTGAAATATAGATTATATTTTCTTTTAGTTAAATTGGTCAGACATATCTTTTTGATACTTTTTTGCACTAGACGTGCAAAGGGACTTCTACCTTTAAGGTTTTCTTTCAGGTGAGGAGTGTGAACAGTGTTTCATCTGTTGTATTATAAAGGGCCATTTTGGTCCAAAAAGCAGCCTCAAAAGCCTAATCTCACCTATAGAGTTGTTTCGAGTACTGCTAAGATAATTAAAATCTACGTAAGATAATACGTAAGATAATAAATTCAGAATTTTATACAAAGTTTGTTTTAGAAAGAATTTTGAAAAGATATTGAAAATATTCCAAAAAACAAAACAACTTTGAGTCACTATAACTTTAGAACCCTATTAAGTACGAAGACACAATAGAAATTAAATTATGGGTTACTGACAAAAGATTTGTATAAAAATTAGTTACTATATTCGAATAAAGGTTTTTTAAGATCTTAAAAGTATTAGATTTATTTTGATATTCTGTATCTCGATATGTTTTTTAAATGAGTTTTGCTGACTTTTTATGACTTGTCAAATCTATAGGTTATGGAAACTTAATTTATATATTTTTTAAGTCAGAGCTGTTTTGTTATATATTATATGTTATATATGTTACGTATATATTTATTTCTATCAACGAATTTCTGCATTCCGTGAGAACGGCCCACAATAACAAAAAATATTATTAATTAACAATGTGTATATAAAGTTCTAAAGCAACATTTAAAATTTATCCTGACCGTATTTTTTTATATACTCCACTACTATCTAAAGCACTAACTTATCTAAGGCGCTTTTAAAAGTAATATATATATATATATATATATGCTAAAATAATTTAAATTATTATTTAAATTTATAACTTACAAAGTACTTCTCGATCTCTGATGCTGGGATGTCGTAATATCGTAGCTACTTTTTGCCTATTTCCTTTTCGGGCTTTCAAGGTATCTTGATTTAATTCTTTGGTACTAAGCTCTTCAATGATGGTGTCATCTTCAGAAACGACAGGACGACATTTTGACAAATGAATTGTGTCCGAATTAAGTGTATTATCTGGAAGTAAATTTTATTTTTACTATAATACAAACTTTACCATCTAAAATTTTAAATATACCTTCATAGACATATACTAATGATGAGTCCCATGGTTCTGAAAATACAGTGCCATCATCAGATTGTGCCGAGTCGTCAATGCCATTAAAATACGACTGACAATATGAAAAATTACGCTCGACATTATCATAGGACGAGAGTCGACAACTGTTTTGGCTATCAAATGATTTTTGACTACCATTCAGTTCGCTCATGTGTTTAACGCCATTTTGTTGTTGCGTCTGTTGTCCTGACTGTTGTTGTTGCTGCTGTGGTGTAGAGCAACGTATTAATTCTGGTAAGTTAAAATCTGGAAAACGTTTTGCTATAATTTGATGAACAGTAATAGGTTTCTGTTTGTTTTCCTTGTTGGCTTCACGACCAAGTGAATTTTCTTTTTCCTGGTTCGATTGTGTTAGTGGTTGCTTCCATTGTTCCTCAGAATCATAGTCACCATAGTTGCCACCATTTTCATCATCTTCATCATCTTTCTTGCCCATAAACTCCCAACTGCTATCCAATTGCCACTGTTCAAAACGACCACGTGCGCGTTTCGTTGGTTGTTGCTGCGGTTGTGCTTGTTGTTGCTGGGTTTGCTTCTTCTTCAGTTCATCCAAACTACCAGCAATTTTCTCGATTTCCGCTGGTACCAAAAGTGGGCACATTGGCGTACGTGCTAAACCTCCTTTGGGTGGTTCTGAATGTCTATGATTGGCTGGCAAGAGCGGTCCACGCTGAGAACGGCGTAATATGCTAGCTGTGGCTAGGCCAGCCTGTCGTAAAGCATCTGCTGGCTCTGCATAGAATGGACTACCTTGTTTACTGCGTGATGCTGGCATCTGAGCAGTAGGTGTGCTTTCACCTTCTGTGGTATCCGTTTTGAGTTGATCATCAGCAAGTGACTGACTCATGATAACTGGCAAGTTAAGTGCGGCTCGTGTACGTGGCTGAGCTTCTGTTGTGAATTGCAACAATTGTTGTGTATCAGAAGTTACTTCGGCAGTGTGTGTAGCGGTATTTTCGTTGGCATGTGGCGGACTAGTAGAGGAAATGGTACAATTAGCAGGTGACAGTATGTTGGAGTTAAGTGAAGTAATTGTCGCTGAAAAGAAAAAAAAAATAATGTAGATAAATTATTTGGTGCATATGCCATAGAAAACTTACGTGTTTCAGCGAGTAAATCTGGTCGTTTTCCTTGCACACCGTCCGGCGGTTTGAAGCTGGTCAGTAAGCTAACACGATCAGTTGGTTCTTGCGACCAAAGATCTTCATAATCGCTTATTTTATCAACCAAAGTGCTGCGACAATAGATTTGTGGGCTTTCCAGTATATCTGATTCCTGGTAATGTTTTGATTCTTTACGCGCTTTTGATTTACGTGACTTACCACCACCATGTGCGCTTGTTGGCGTACCGGCTGAGCATGGAGACAAAATCTTACGTTGACTATTATTTGAATCTTTGCTACTTTGTGACTGCCAACGACTGCCGCTTGAAGAGCCTTGCGAAGAGAGTGTGTCTTTGCACTCCCCTTCAGGTGAAAGACGTTTGGCAAACGTTTGGAAAGTGTTGCTCGAATTGAGCGCGCTTGTGAGTGGATTATGTTGTGTAGCTGGTGTTGTCACCTCTACCAGTTGTGGTGAATTCTTATTGTCTACGGAAAATGTAACTGTAGTTGTAACTGTAAAGTTATTAGCTGCATTTATGTTGTGATCCGGTGGCAATGGACTATTTGGCGAGATGGGTTTGGACCAACGTAAAGGTGGCGCTGGTGGTTTGCGTAAATCTAGATTTAAAGTATTTGGCGGTTTGGGTCGTTGTGGTCTTATGCCACTCTCTATGTGATTTTTATTCGGCTTATATGGTATTTGAGTGGTACCATTTGATTTAAACGTACTTAGATTATTGGCGCTATTGGGTATTTCAGTACCATTACTCATGCTAAGCAAACCATTACGCTGGTTACTAACATCCACCGGTGACATGGTTAAAATTACCGAGTCTACTGATTCAGGACTCATAAGTTGCATATGTTGACCACCAGATGTAGTGAAAGAACTCATGCTCGATGTTGTATCCGAAGGTGTGCCAGCTTGACTGAATAGACCATTTACATTATTTGTTGGACTGAAGACTTTTGCGGTTTGCTGCACGCAGTTTGAGCCTGCTGAGTTGCTGAATACAGTTGCACCCAGACCGCTAGTTTCAGTTAAGGAATTTGGTGATTTCGCATCGAGTAGAATAGCCTCTGTTTCGGTTGGTTTTGGGCATGACATGGGATAACGCCAAAATTCTTGTCCCAACAAAGCAAGTGACGATAATTGTTGACGATTTTTGGCCTCACGTAATGCACGTGGCAGTACAAGCTGAACTGGAAGTTCATCGCAGCACTGGGCATAGTGTGCAATTAATGCAGGAATTGAATCAAACTTAAAACGTGAACTCTCTAAACTTAAAATGCCATCATTTGATTGTATTAGATAGTGTTCGATGTAAGGTCCAGTGTCTGGTGGTAGACGCACTGAAACGGCCATTGTATTTGGTTGGCTCGAACCACGCACTATAAAGTTCTGTAAGAAAAAAAAGGAAAATTTAAGTACAAATATGTAAAAAAATATAAGGAAGAATTTTTTAAATATTTTTAGCCGTGCAAATTGTGTTGTCTTCAACATCCTATTAGTCCCATTACCCATACCCATACATAATGTCTTATTGTTTTATTATCATTTCACTGCGTTAAAGTTACTCACAGCTCTCTTGGTAAATCAGGCATGCTTAGCGCTAAAATTAAATGTAGCGTTAAGAAATCTGCTCATAAATTTATCATAACAATGATAAATTGTCTTTATACCAGTACGTCCTGTGCGCCCGTATTTCTCAGCAGAGCGTTGCCATAGAATAAAATATTTTTTGTTTTCCGGTCGAGACTAGCGCGTAACATTGCGTGCCGCTGCTGGCATTGCAGCTCTGAAAGCGAATTTCGCGAAAACGTCTGTTCGTCTGTCTGTTGTCCTGCAGTCTGTCGCTAAGCTGTTAAAGTGTAAGCATAATAAGTAGTTATGCTTTGTTAATGAAAAGGATTTTTGACTTGGTCGGACACACCTACTTTTCTATTCTATATTTGTTGTTAATGAAAAACTTTGCAGACAATTTTCCGTGACAGCAAAAATGAAAATTGTTGGTATTTTAATAGCGAAGAATGCGGCATAAGGATGACTTGAGCTGCTATGCTTTGCGTGGCGTTAATCGTTTTCATAATATAAGAATTGGTCATTGAGACGTTGACAGTTTTATGGGTTTTAGAGGTTGGAGGAATTTGTATTGTTCTTAAAAGATTGGAATTCAAGCAGTGCGAGGTGTTATAATATTTCTTATAAATTTTGATTGAATTGTTGAGGGACTACTGCACCATTCAAAATCATATTCTTGGTATGACTGTGATATTGAAGAATATAATTTCAAGCACGTATAAAATTAATTTCTAAATTTATCATTCAAGCATTATATTTTTCACTATATAATTACAAAAACAAGTTGGAATGGCATTTTGTTAAAATAAATATCTAAAATTGTGAGATGAAATATATTTAACAATAAATTTTAAATAAAAAAGGAACGAGGAAAGATTTTAAAGGATATCAATCAACTATAAGTACAATAGGTCTCTTCTGGCCGCAGTACCGGCTGTTGGGCAATTTTCACGCATAACTATAAGTAACTTTTTAATATATAAATGTATAAAATTAATAATGGAAAAATGGATTACTATAATTAAAATATAAAGGACATTTTAAATGATTTATATAACAAAATGGTGTTATATACACTAATTAAAATCTTCTATTGAATATTAATAAGAAGTATTTAATAACAATATTTTTTATGAGTTGATTGAACGTCGAAAATAGAATAGATAGAGTATATTGTTTGAGAAGACTCCGAATGTCACAATTTTATAATAACTAGCTTTATAAAGCAATGTTAGTCTTTTGAAACTAAGAAGGAAACAATCCTAAATTCTATGTGAATATAGCAATGTCACTAGTAAAACAAACATTTTAGGCGATATTTGTATTATTAGTAACCTTATCATATTCACATAGTTCAGGACTGTTTTCTTCTTGGTTTCAGAATAAAAAAACAATGATCCTATTTGAATATGACAAGGATACCAACAATACAATTATATCATACGACGCTGAGTTACCAATCCGCCATTTTTGAGAACAAAATGTTGAAGAGCCTGTACAGTGTAGATGTCTAGCTAAAACTCTATTCTAAATTAATAAACAGTGACGTAGTATTTCTAATTCGGAGAGATCTAGCTTCTGATTCGTACTTCTAACTAATTTTAATACTTCGAACTAATTAAATAGAAAGGCAGAGAGCGCACGAACAAAAGCTACAAAGATACAACGATATACTGAAAGTGTCGATGTAATCTCCCAGACATGTCTGTAGTCAAATGCTTTCCAACATCGCATGCAGGTCGTTTATGGTGACATAACCTCTTGTTTGTAATTCTCGTATTGTACTATATATTATTGTGTTGAATTACTCAATCGGTAGTCAGACCGAGAGTGAATTTATTGATCAAGATAATGTTAGATAATACAATAAAATGTGCTGCCAGATTGGCCTTATATTCCAATACCTAACAATAATAAATAATGAATATATTCTTATATTAATAGAAAATGATTCAAATTGCTGCCACTCAAAAGCTCAAATAATGATTGAAATTGAGTTTTGGGGACTAAATTATTGTTAACCTATTGGTACAATATATAAAAAAAGAAAATAAAAAAATACAAAAAACATTAAATTAAAAAATATAATAAAAAACGAATTTAATAAATGAATTAAATAATAAAAAAATAATATAAGAGAAAAATAATATAAAGAATTTAACAAAAGAAAATTAATAAAATATATTTTTATAGAATTAAATAAAGCAATATATTAAAAAATATTTGATGATAAACTAGCACAAAAAACTATTAAAAAGCAAACAGTTTTTGTATAGAAAATCTAATGGATATCAAAAAAATCTACAAAAGTTATGCCACTAAAATATTTGTTGTGGTCGTTTCCTGCTACGTGTGTACACTTGAATACATGCTTTGAATAGTGAGTTTGACTATAAGAAGTTTGTGTGTGCATACGTATATTTATATATACTTTATATAGTTGTTGAGCTTACATATATATGTAAGTATATAAGAATTTGATTTCACGTTGATATTGGCAATAATTTTTGAAGCTCAGACAGAATTGCTGGTGGCTATTTCAAAGACTACCGTAACGTAATCAAGTTGCAAGGATACTGGCTATGATATATTGCATGTATGTATGAACTATAATAAGGAAACGTTGATATAGTGTTAGCTTAATACAATTTTAAAATTATAGAAAAAAAATTGGTTTCAAAAACGAAAATACAAAATAGAGTTGTTGAAAATTTCATAAAATTTCGTTTTTTATTGCTTTTGCTTTGATATATTTTTATTGTATTGGCTAAAAGTATGCAATGATTTTAGTGCTGTGAGTTTAGCTGCAGATCCGAGTATAATAAACTGTTGCGTATACGACATGTTGGCCAGAAGAATTTTATGTTTAGAGCAGTTATTGTGTTATTTGATTATATTAAAATTCTTTGAAGGGGAACAACTAGAGTGTAAAGCAATTTAATGTGTATTGGATTTGAGAAAAATGAAAATATTTTTGAGTGGATAAAAGGGTTAAAAATATTGTTGAGCTTTTAAGAATGCAAGAGTTTAATAGATTTAAGATATAAATAATAATACAAAAATACTATATAAAATGTCTAAAATATTTGCTTTAACTTTAATGTTTTGGCAGCAATAGCAGCAATACTATTTAGTATTAAATCATATATCAAAAGTAATTTAAGAAGGATGGTCACAAGGTTATCTTTATATTATGTATGATAAGAATTGTGAATTGTAAATAATTCGTTACTCTATAAGATATGCAAGCATGAGTTATGTTAATAGCTTTATAATAGTTCCATAGACTATAATGCTATTGTGTATAATGCTAATATAATGTTTATGACTTGAAAATCTCACCGATTTTTTTCAAAAACGATCATAGTTTTTATTTTGATCCAAAACGCATAATTCCATATTATTATGTGTTATTTGAATGACTTCGATTGACATACTATATAACTTAAACATCATGTCATATTTTAATACAACTCTATTTGGTAGAGTGCAATTAATTTTTATAGTTCTGGTTATAATGTATTAATAATATAAAATATATGAAGAACTTATAATTAATGTAAGTGCTTGAAATATTTAATACCTTCTGAACAAGATTAATATTGAATAATGACCTACTTAGTACGATTACTTTAAAACGAGTAGAAATCAAATTCAAAATTAGAAATTGTGGGTGGTTTGACCTAAAAAGAAGAATTGATTGCCGCAAAAATATTCCATAAATTTAACCTTTAAGCATCAGGTTGATCCGACTGTCTGTGTACAATTTCAATGCCATCTATACAAGTAAGAAATTGGCAGTTTGAGTCTCGAGGAGAAATTATACGAAATTCCCTCGACAGATCAGTATGGGGAAGCTTTTTTCAGCTCTATTTTCCTTATTAGAGTAATGGTCTTAGTAAAATGAATGTTCTTTTACTATCGTTTTAGATGATAATATTAAGAATCATTGTACTAGTATAATTTTAAATAATGTGATCGCTTTTATGTTAGTTTGTTAGTTAATTCTAGTATAAGAATTTGATTGTTTAACCTGAATTAATTGAGTTTATAATAATAGATAATTATAGATAATTATCATTTCCTATTATTTTTTTTTCATAAATTATCAAAATAATAATTATAAGAATAAATGTGATCATTATAAATTCTTTTTTTATTTTTACAATACTTTTTAAGAATTAAAGAGTAGTTTTGTTTAATTTTTGCCTTACTCTCATATTTGAAATACATATACTGCATTTTTAAAGAACCTTTCATCTACATTGAACTGTATTCTAATGATTCTTTACTTAAATTTCCTTAAATAAAAAGTTTTTAGAATTTAAAACCTTATTACTTATTTTATTAAAATGAATTTTACAAAACGGAAGTGTGAGGAGAATGTTAACTCAATCGATATTTGATGCTGGTATTTGCTTTACTTGTCTTTGTTATATTAGCAGACATGTTTTATTATTTAAAAGAATAGTAAGCAGTAAAATTTTGTTAGTAGAAGCACAAGACGACAATATGCTTAGTAAAAATAAATCTGACCGGAAATGCAATTTGTGTTATAAAAGAGAACGACCGGAAAACTGTATGAGCAAGAAATTTTCATTCATTGCCAAAGACAATGACAACAGTAGCTCATTCATTCCCTTGCAATTGTTCGAAGGTATAAGATTGCTGTACTTGTTCAATGGATATTGGCAACATTTTCGGAATGAGCTTTTACGTATAATGAAATTAATTTTAAGCTCAAAATGACACAAATCACAATAGTCAATATGCTTTAGATGACTACAAGTACATATCTCTTCCCTATCTTTTGGAGGTAA